CCCTAGATCCAGGGGATACGACCTTCCAACAATAAGGGTAGGTCCTCGCGATTTTCAGGCATCCGACAACATCCGATGGCTCGGAGTTAACTTGGACCGTGGCCTGACCTTCGAAAGCCACGTCGCAAAGTGGACCAGCAAAGCAATGCGGCTAGTGCAACACTTCCGGCGACTCACTCAGTATACTCAGGGACCAAGACCCGAAATACTAACCACAGTTATCCGCACGGTAGTCCTGCCAATCGCGATGCACGCAGCGGAATCCTGGTACCCGGGGCCAACCAGGGAAACATATCGGGGTATCGCGCGCAACTCTTGCAAGAGACAGTGCAAAGTTGTTGACCAAACTTCTGCCTTAGGAATTCGCGTGGCTCTACCAACCTGGCCACCATGCCCATCGCAGCCCTGAGAAGGGAGACTGGCATTCCACCTGCACGCATTCTGCTCGAGAAACGCAGGCTCAAGAGTGCCGCACGAATCCGGAGACTGGATGATTGTCATCCGCTCCAACTTCGGGCCATGGAAAGCACTGACAGCGCTCGTCACCGACTAGGACTAAAGACATGCAACAAAACCAGACTTGGTCTGGATAGAGTTCATGATTCAAGGGTCCAGAGGATGTACCGGCTTCTGCCAGAGGCTAAACTACCTCCGCCGCTTAGACCTCCGGTCCCCCCTCAGCTAATTCCCTGCTGGACAAGCAAGAAAGAGGCTGCCAAGTTCATCAGAGAGTGGTTATTTACACTCCCACCCGACTGTCTCTGCGTTTACAGTGACGGTTCTGGGGCTTCAACCGACAGAGTGTCATGGGCCTTTGTGACCTTTATCAGTGGCATATGCACGACAATCGAGCAAAGCAGCTCAGGCAAAATTACCAATGCGGAGGTCTACGACGCGGAGGTTCATGGAGCTTTGGCTGCTCTAGAAACAATCACTGCCAGCAATCGAGATCGACGATGCAGTGCCATCTACATCCTTCTCGACAATTCTGCGGCTGTTTAGGCTTTACTGACGGGAACAACAGGCTCAGCATCCTGGCGTATCCAAAAGTTCGTGAAACTTGCCGCGAGATCAGCCGCGCCTGTAAAAATAGGATGGATCCGGGCCACGAAGGGCTGGCAGGAAATGAAATCGCCGATTAACTCGCTCGAAGAGAGCTTAACTCGCCGGACAACTCTAGAACGACACATGGTGTGATGACCCTCGCCTCATCTGGACGGAAAGCCCGTGAAGTGGCCAGGCAGATGTTGACAGACTGGTGGCACTCGAATCGCCCCAAACATTACGCCGACCTTGAACTCGAGATGCGGTGCAAGAAACCGCCAGAACTAGCGCTACCTAGAGCGCTCTACGCCCGCTTAATCGCCGCTCGAACTGGACATGGGGACCTTGCGACATATCATCGCCGCTTCAACCACACTGACGCCAAACTCTACTGCGAGTGCGGGAGGGAAAAATCAAATGGTCACCTTGTCCGGTGTCGAAAAGCACTGGCAACATGGCGGCTGAAAAGCGGAAAGCGTAGGGCACCGGCTCTGGAAACAATGCTCGGATCAAATGGATGGCAGCTGTTCAGGGACTATGTCCAGGAGAGTAGGATATACACGGAGCCTAGTCGGGGGATGGCAGGGATACCTGTGACTCGGAGGTGATAGGTCAAAGGCCTAGGTGGTTTGGCATGGAAAGTGGGAATTGGAATCGAGGCCCAGGCGCGTGGTGGCTGAGGCGGAACGATGGAAGGGAGATTGTTTAAGTTTTTCTTTTGTAATGCGGGATTTCGCGTGAAAGATTTCGTTTGGTTTTCAATTCTGGGCTGCTGGACTCGTCATGGTTTAACCCATAGATGCATTTTGGCATGGTTCCGGTCATTTAGATGGGACGAGGCATTTGTACTGCACGGTAGTTACCATGATCCGGCCCGACCCCACTCGTGCTCAAGCTCCAGTAGGACTGCGACGGTAGTTACTTCACCTAGCATGTTAATGAACAAACAAACATCACATCATCGAGATACCCGTTACGTACGCACACCCCTGTAAAAGGAAGACTGACATGAATCGAAATAAATGTTACACCATCAGCTACTGAAGAGTTACATTCATTTCCGACGTTCTATTCGCCTCAGATTTTCTAATCATGCTCTTAATGTCCACGTCTCGTTTCTGATGATCCCATCTACAGCAATAGAAAGATTTAGTCAGTAAATCTAGAATTCAAGAGGGATTTTTTTAATATGAGTGGATGAAATACTATTTGAAATATCACGCAATGAAATGGGTGCAATATTTATGGAACGAAAGTAGAAGTTGACTAAGAGAGTGTCATATTAGGATTACAGCTGAAAGTGTGGGAAGTGAGCGCAAAAAGTACAAATGTATTGCAATTTTTGCAAGAAAAAAAAGCAGATCATGCAACACCTAATACTACAGTGTAGGAGCTTTGCAAAAGTAAGAATAAGATTACTCAAAATTATAGAACTATAAAAGCTGCCAATTCTTTTCAGTAAACAGAGGGGCAGGGAAGCATTATTAGGATTTTTGAAGACTTCTAGGCGCATAAATGCACATAAATGAGATTAAATAGGTACAAATTAATTTGGAAATATAAATATTAGGTGAGAGCTGGAATAAGAGAGGGAAGATAATCCTTATCTCAAGAGAATATAGTAGTTTTGATAAACTGACATAGCTTTATAGCTGAATACAATATGCATTTTAAAAAAAAAAAAGTACAAGTGTAAGCGACACAGAGCCTAAGCCACAGCATAAATGAGTGTGGCGTCATCTAGGCATGGAAAACCCCCAATAACCTCCTTGCGCCCATGCCATACAGCCGCTCGTATATCCAATAGGTAGCCTTAAGTGCTACCATATTGCCCATTCCAACCTCTTACATACACATAAGATCGTGTCGGGAACCTAAACGAAATGGAGGGCCCGTACATCCACAACACTCTGTGTCTCCATTTCCAACATTTTCTATTAATTAATTCGATGGTAATGAGGAATGCAGCAATTATGGGTTCGTGTAGTACTGCACTGTCTTTAGGTGTGTCGATGAAATTAACATTTTCTCTAAATAATATTTGACGCAGCTCAAACGCTAGTTCTTTTACTCCGTTTAAGCACGGCGAAAATTCATCTGTAATTCAAGGCTTAAAATTTTAAATTTACATCTCTAAATTTCGAATTTTGATTTTGGATGGGTAAACTTGAACACCAATCATTGAAGTGTTTATCTTACGAGTTCGTGTCACGTAAGTAACAGACAAATTCCACGAGAAATGCGTGTAAAAAAGATTTGAGATCGTGACGGTATGTCTTACTCATTGAACCTATTTTCAGAGCAAAATTTTGCAAATTCTTTATCGCCATGAACTTCATGGTACCCGTTAAGCTTTTTGCCTCATTATACCCGGCAACATATATGGCCGTGTCTAGGTCAAAGACTTTCCATTGCTTATACTATATTCATTTGTAATTGTCAAAATGATGATACTTTCGGAAATATCGCCATGAAGTATATTCTTGAAAAAGTTGAAGTTTCGATGCGCGAGTATGGCGTCGGGCAAGCCGCTTTAAATTCACGGAGCGAGGTACAAAACTTGAATGGTCGATCGTAAGGTAAAACGGCAAGAGTGAGTTTACGTTCCTTGAATAATTCCACTGATATCTCTCCTATGCCGATAGATAGCCAGTTCCTTTGACCAATGTCCCATCTTTTTCCAGTCGAAAAGTCTAGCCCCGCTCGATGGGTCTTAACCTGATATATCTCTTCAAACGATACTAGATCATCTGCGCCGTACAACGAACGTACGCATTTGAAGAAATTAATCTCTGACTATTTCGCGCCCGAGCCGCATGAAAACTTGATCAAGTAAGTCATATCCATTGTCAGATAACAGGTGTTGCCTCGTGCCAGTACTGTCTCCGGTTGGGTTACTAGCACCGGGTTGATCTCGACCAATCTTTCCGGTGAAAAATCGCCATCTCAAATTTTGACAAAGGACCGTCCGTTGTAACGACAGATAGTGGTATCTAGGCCAAGCTCTTTGTCACTCATTAGCATGTAGAACGAAAGAGCTCGAGACAATTTTTCTTGATCTGCGATCACGTTGAATGCACTTGAGCTATGAGCGCCTGACCTATCGATAATCCACATCAAAATTTGCCTCTTGTGCAAGCAGAATCCATGAACGAATCTACGCAGTGGCTGCGCGTAAAAAACTTAGCGCACGTACATTGTTAGCTGGTTAAATTTTTCTTTTCTATTTCCCACTGAATTTGCGACCTCGCCAACCGCCCTTACGTCCTCCCACTGATGAATCCAATCGTTTTGGATGTCTGAATGCTCCATAAACACATCCACCTTCCGTGGACTTCGACCACCGAGCAACTGTGATGTGCAAGATGTAAAAGAAATTTTTCCACGAACAAGGTTTCATAAGGGTTTCGAAATAAAGATTTTTCATAAAAACTTGATTGTGGGGCCTCTAATAATTTTTGGTAAATTAAAAAACTGTTAGTCAAACATAGGTATACTTGCACCTCAACATAATGAAGTGTTTATGATTATTGTTTACTTGGGAGCATAATGGGGTAAGGCGTGTAGAGATCTTATATATCCTGTATTAGTAGTTCCATATTAGAGTGTAGCGAGAGTTAGGTCGTAGCATTAGGAGAGAGTCCTGAGAAGGAATCGCAATACACGTTCCGCATTTCCAACCCAATACTTTATCAAATCTACTCCCAGTAGTCCTATATCAGTTGTCTAAAAGAATCAGATTCTGATAGTTTTAAGTAAATCTTGTAAAAGGATTTGATCCATTTGATCATAGTTTTTTCACCCATATTTTCCGTGAAGGTATGTTTATTTAAACGTTGATCTTTATCGCGATATCTCTCCCGAATTCGAGTAGTTAAGCTAGACAAGTCTTTACTTTCGATATTAAATTCCCAGAATTTATCGACAGATTTTTAAGTATAACCCGTGAGCTCGGCTTAGAATGTCTCTTCGAGGCCGGATTTAGTATGGTCATAAGCGTAGGATTCTGAGATCCTTAGCAGTATGATACTAGTCGATGTAATCTTCTGTGTTAACGGAATTTGTAATTCTGGGAGAATTGGAGCAGCTCCACGGGTAAGTAGGTCGGCAACATGTAAGGTGTAATACCAAATATCACGGTCGCTTCCTGATTTGAACAAGTAGATAGAGCGTTCAAATTCATGGGTAGGAACCTCTTCTTTGGAGATCTTAAATTGTAAATCGCGAATATTTGTTTCAAAATTTATATTTGCATGGTTGTCTGTGGATCGTAGGTATACCATGAGGTAATTACGGAGTTCACCTAATGAAAAATTACGTCTTAATAGTCAACTTTTCCTATTTCTTGGGCCATAATAATTTACCTCGCAGTGGTCTAGGTTGGAGACTTAAACACCATGTGTAAAAAGCAAGTATCTGATAGGCAGGGTTTCGGGTTGTGTACTCGGAAAATTCTTCAAATTGATCCATCTCGTAAAAAGTGGCATGTAATAGTTAAATGTTTGGACGTGAATAAGAATAATGTTGCAGCAGATTGAAAGAGCAATAGGAAATGACTACTTGTAGTCGTTTTCATCACAAGATATACCCTGCTATGAAGGAATACTTGTCAAAGCACATTCACTTCATTTGCCGGCAAAGACGAATTCTTCACTTTAAAGTGGTGCCGGTGAAATCGTTCATTATACACTGCAGATCTGGTGCAGCAACGAAGAATCGCATCCGAATCGAAGTCGAAAGCAGCGTCAAGCACATTGAAAAACCAACGACATGTCGTCAATGTCGGGCCCATCATTCTCACTCAAGTATTTTACCTTGATATTACTACAACACCTGGCCTTAAATACCGATAATGGAATTACCCCAACTGCAACTGGTCATTTGGGCATTTGCCTCATTAAAATCCGGCCATCTCTCATTAAAAATTACGATACTATGTAAACCCGCTAAGAAGTCTTTAACTCATGATCTACAAAGCTCTAGTCTTGGTCTACAGGGGACCGTTGCTCTCATGGGGCTTCACATCCTGAGGGAGGACAGACAGCTAGGACGTGGGACTAACAAGTGAAGAGGTCGCAAATGGGCATGTTGGGCCGCACATTTTTCTAGTATTTTTGACTCACGGGTGTCTGTAGGCGCAGAGGCAACGATTTCGGATAGTGCAACTGACACTTTAAAAATAGACAACGATGGAAAGTATTTTGGTCCGCCTCCTGGTCGTCATCTCCCCGAATTAAACTCTGGGTAGCCTGGACACTTACCTCACTCGAGAAAGGGAGGCCTGTGAGGCCTATCTCGCGTGGCGGCTATATACAAGATGGCAAAGGCATCTTAGGGTAGCCAAAGGGTTTTCCTATTTTCCCTTTGGTGGATATTAACGATTGAGGGAAGGGTGGAAATCCCTAGCACCAAGGTCTCGAGTGGTATCAGTGAATGCGCCAACTACATGAGTAGTCCGTAGGTCAAACTGAGTTATCGTTGTATATAGTCGTCGAAGAAGCTAATCTTCTCCGTGTTAACATTCTGAGTGCGGGGCAAGTGCCGTCACAAATAAAAATTTATTCATTTATTTTATGACTTGAGGGACTGCTAAGACTAGACAAATGCTACAAAATTCACTTCATTATATATGTGCTTTGTTTTTCAATTTTTTCTGATAGACACTCAGGATCTTGCCTGTCACAAATAATTTTTTATTCATTCAAACTTAAACTCTTTAGCGGAGAGAATGATATCTCAACTTCGGAGAAAGGACAGGAGCCCGTTCTATGAGATTTGGGAATATCACTTGTTGATGTGATAGAGAATCGAGGGAACGGGGAAGAATTTCAGTACGCTTCATTGGTTAATAGATTATAGTTATTTTAATATGTTCAGTGGAATTACAAGCGAGAAATTTTATCCGGAACTAACCCAACTGCAGAATTAAGTTAGATCTCAAAACAGGAAAAAATTATCAACTGACTCAGAATATTAGGTCATGCAATAGAAGATAGAAACAAATCAATTCATTTCCCTTCGTTCATTTCCCTAGTTTAACGTCCTATTTGACTTCTATATACAGAGCCATGAAGACGGTGAGCCGCTTTGGTGTCGGAAAAAGCTTTTAACAAACAAAACCCGATGTGCTGCCACTCTGAGCCGTCCCGGCTTCATTCTAAGGCAGTTCCTTTCAACCACAATTATTTAAACTTTCCCCAGAATCCGTTAACTCTCCCTTCAATCAGACTAACGTTATGAAAAATTAAATAAAGAAGGAGGCGCCTCCTCGCTCGGCGTTGGTCTTTGAAGTGTTAGAAGAACTGGCCTCGATGGCGGTGCTGCTGTCGAGGCGATGGTTGGTGCCACTGGGGCTTCGACTACCCTGTGTGGTCGTCCCGGCCCTCTTTTGGGTCCTTCAACCTTTTTACTGGTGACCAAAGTGAATCCTTGATCATCAGACGTTCCGACTAATCGTATTGGCGCCATTGTTGGTTTTTCATTCCATATTTCCGTTGTTCTTGACAATAGCTCCATTCAAGCCTTCTCCACACTTCCCTTGTAGACCTGGTAGGTCTGACACGCTGCTTTCTGCCACGAACGGTGCTCCTTGCCGCAGTTGGCACAAGAAACCCTTTTCCTCGGACAGTCCCGAGTTTGGTGAGCGCCAGCGCACTCACCGCACGTAGCTGCCTTTCCACACGACGCCTGTGTGTTCCCACTGGCTGCAGTTATAGCACTGCTTTGTCTGGGACTGTGGTGACCACACCTGCGCGGTGTAGAGCATGGCGTTCGTGACAAGGCTGTTTCGGACCACTTCCTTCTGCATTGCCTCCGATGGGAGGCTTACCGCTAGTGATGCGTGAGTTCGGCCATTTTTCTTTGACCGCTGTTGTTCCCTTCCGTCGTGAAAACATCGATTCTATTGATCGACAGACCTGGAATTCATACCTTTGTTGCCGTCTCTATCTCCCGGATGATTGCATAATTGTTGGCATCTTTGCCTCCTTCGATATTTGTCCGCAATGGGACATTGCTGACCTCGACTGGAAAGCGTTGCCGTAAGATTTTAAACTCTGTTGGTTGTCTGCTGTGCCTTTAGCACGTTCACCATGCATAACACACCTTGCGCTAGGTGTGTTATGCTAGCACTATATTAGGAAGTATTTGATAGGTTTGTTTCTGTAATCTAAGCGGGGCTGTAGTATAAATAGAGGTCGGAGCTCCCCATATTGAAATATAGATCAATCAACATCTTTACACACTTTATTCCCAATAAAGCTATCCCAACAGTCAAAGGTCAGCATTATGGTGATACATCCTAATCCATAACTGTAACATTGTCGCATGTTTAGCGCCGCCTCTCTCTGGGATGCCGATTGGAAGAACACCTCGGTATCGTTGCTCCGCATTTGTCGAATTGCGTATGCGCCATCGATGTGTTTTTTGGCTTTTGAAAGCAGCTCTTCTGCCTGCAGTTTATCAGCTCCGTCAATTTTTACTGGTATCGCCGCTTTCGTCGTTTGCGGAGCCATGACCGACGCGTAACTCCTTAGTGTTGGCGCGCCAGAAGTCACTGCTGGTGCAACTTTCCGAGCAGGGTCCGCCAGGCTCTTCCTGAAAACTTCCTCTAATGTCATTATCCTCTCCTCAATTGGAGACGTCTTCCGGGACATATCAGTCCATGATCTTTTGTAAGCATTGAGTGCCTTCACGGCTTCGTTGACATTCTCCATTGAGGGTAAGTCCTCCTCATCCATCTCTCCCATCACGATGAGTCTAACCTGTTTCAATAGTTTCCCCAGTATTTCAAGGTTCTTGTCCATTGGAGCTGTCTGCGCTCCGCTGCCGTTGTTGGTTGAGGCCATTGTCGCATTTTGCGACGCGTCGAAACCGCTGGATTTACCCACACCAGCACCCACACTCGCCATGTTAGAGCACGGAAAGCGAAATAATGTTAGGAGGCTTCTGAAGGTGAATAAATTATAATCACGATGTCAAATTAATGATATGGGCAGCATGGAAGGCTGCGCAGCTTTCTGGCAAAAGTGTTTTACTTGGTATATGAAATGGGAATGTATACTTGCGCTGGAACAGCTAAGACAGTATGTGGAGAGATGTCTTCATTAATGTGCAGAAGTGAGGTGACTGTGATAATTGTTTTATTACAAATTGGGGGAAGCTCGTCCCTTATCCCCTAGCTTGTTCGTTTGTAGACCGATCACGTTACCAGTATGCAGCTCACCAAAGTGTGCAACCAACTAAGCAGCCATGCCATTTGTCCTACATCAACAACCCATCTCTCGTACTGCACACATTACTACATGTAATTTCGTTGTGTAGAGACTGGATCTCCTCCATGCGCCATAACGCCATGCTGCCATAATAACTACCTATGCACCAGCTACTAGATCTACCATCCTACATAGCTGAGCATAACAAAAAGTGATGTTTTCTCGAACAAACCTAGTAATAGGTTTGTATTGGAAGAATGTGATTCAAGCAGACTCTCACGTTGGGTCTAATTGGGTCAGAAGTATGGAATCCAGCCTGAACTCGGAAATATAGTTCAGGTAAGATGCCTGCAACCACAATGGTCGATAGAAATAAATGCAGGAAGCTGTTTGTCCAACATGTGACAAGCGCAATTGTCTCTGTAAAAGATACGGCACTCGGAGCGGACAAGATAACGCTACGGTTACTGAAAGCCGGTTGGTCCCATCTAGGATTTCTCGACAAAGATCTCTACCAGGCTTGTCTGAAAATTGGCTATTTTCCCACAGCTTTCAGGGTTGCAGAAGTTGTGCTTCTTTCAAAGGCAGGTGGAAATCTGTCAACTGCTAAGGGTTGGCGACCTATCTCGCTGTTGTCGAGTTTAGGCAAAGGACTTGAGCGTCTAGATGGTAAGAGAATGGCATGGCTGACGATAAGTCACCAAGTCGCTCATCTGCAATGATTTGGCTCAGTACCAGGACGATCTACGTTTAATCTTGTATCCTGTGTAATCCATGATGCTGAAGCGGAAAATATGCGGTTTTAGTCACACTATACATCCAAGGTGCTTTTGATGCAGTCCTTCACAACCGACTATTCAAACGCTTTCGAGAACAAGGTCGGCCACTATCCCTGTGACGGCCTATTTAGAACTTTCTTTGCAAACGAAAATTCCAGGTGAAATATCGTCGTGGAAACACATTTTAGAAAATACTGGAATGTGGAGTACCTCAAAGCCCGCCACTTCTCTTCATGCTCTACATTGCTGTGCTATTTCAGGACCATGATCTAATGAGCAGGTTTGGTTATGCTGATAATATAGCTATCATCAGAGTTAGAAACGCCGCGGCGGAAGCTATCTCCGCAGTCCGAGATGACCTTAACGATCTCATCCTTCTCGCAAGAGACCATAGGATCGAATTCGACCCAGTATAGTCTGACCTCTAGTCGCCGGAGGAGGACCTAGAAAGAAAATCAACACGGCTGACCTTTCCATC